GGAATTGCTTTTTGTTTGTGAGAGGGAGTTTTTCTTTCCTTTTTCCCAGAGCTTATCTACAAGAACTATTTTTTTCCCCTAAAATGTTTATTTCTGTATGCTTTTCAGATAAGAGTGCCTGGACAAATCATTAAACAGAGAAGAATCATGCCATATTGCTTCTCTCTACTGTTAAGATGCTTGGATATATATGAAGGGACAAGATTTTCCTGAATTGAAGTTGAACAGGGAATCAACAGAAACAACAGCAGATACATTTTGGATGTAATTTTAAAAACTGAAGGCAGTCATGTTTCAACTCTATTTTACTCTATTCCTGCTACTGAAACAAGCAAATGAATACACCGTTTCTGGTAAGATTTTGTTGCCTAAGCCCATTAGCTTAAGCAACAAAAGGAAAAGGATAACAAAAGGAGGTCAAGATACAATGCCAGTAAGTATCTCAACCCCATTTCCTGAAGTTCTCTCTTCAGCTGCATATTAGAAGTAGTGCTGAAGAATATAGATCAGGCTTCTTCCATGCACATCAAGTAAGTAGCAGTAAAAGCCAGTTTTATCTACTGGGTTTGACTAGCCAAAGCAAAGAGGCTCTGTGGCTCAACTGGCAGCAGTGTCTCCAAGTTCCACCACTGTTAAACTGAGTCTCCATCACTGAAAGTCTCTGAGCCCTTAAAAATCTAAAAGAAAACCAGTCTGAAATAGGTGGGAGTGTTCAAGACACCACATCTGTGTTGGGAACATGAACTCATTCAACATCTATGGCACCATCTCTTTCAGCTGGGGAGAGCAGATACCCCATATCTGCCTCTCATTCAAAGGAAAGGTAAAATACTTCAGAGAAAAAATAACAGCAATTTCTTGACAATTAGGCACAGCAAGAGCAGTAAAGTCATTCTGCTTCCCTCATATCCTCCTTTCTGCTTCAGTTAACGCATATAGGTCTAATTTTCATTACTGCAATGAAACAAGAAGTCATCATGTGACTACTTCAAGTCATATAAGCACAGAATACCTGACCCTGTGTCCCATCTGTTTATAAAATATGTATTTGCTTCTTTTTGAGACAAATCTTCTCTTAGTCCTGGCCCAAATCTTAGGATTTAAATGTCTTAATTTCTTCTCATGGCAAACCCCAGAAGGTTTAGTTCAGCAAAGAAGGAAGAGATGGCTCCATTACCATATGCAATTATCTTGTGGAAAGAAAGGTGTGAAAGGTCTGACAAATTAGGCTAGGAAGTAGGCCATGTATATACAACAGAATGGACACAGCTGGTCACCAAGGACAATGGTGTATTCTCCAGTTGTGAGGAATGGTCAATAAAAATCCAAGTCTTTACAGGGGGACATGGTCTGCTCAGAGAAGTTACCTGGTCCAGCAGCAGGTTATGAAGGTGAATGATGTGCTGCAGCCCAAGACACCAGAACATCACCGGGGCAGTGCTGGAGTCACCATCCCTGCAAGTGTTCACAGCCCGGGTAGACGAGGCCTCAGTGACAGCGGTTAGTGGTGGCCTTGGCACCGCTGGGGATGGTTGGGCTGGATGAGCTTAAAGGTTTTCAAACCAAGTGGATTCTCTGATTCTACCATTTGGCCTTAAACATCAGGACCAGACCCTGCTAGTCCCTGAAGCCAAGGGAAGTCTGATCCTGCAAACACGGGGCCTCCAGCAGGTAACAGCACCTCTGTCACTGGATATATTAACTGTTCCCTTCAGTACCCCTACAAAATGATTCGAAAGCATTCTTGGAGAAGTTTATAAAACTTGTTTTCTCCTGTTTAAGCTTTCCATTTGAAGGAAGTGCACATCCTGGACTAGCCGTGGCATTAGCATGGTATTGCTGGGATAACCCCCTGCTCTGAGGACACCAGAGCAACTGGTGTGCTTGAGCACAGACCTGGGCAAGGAGAAAACCAACTCTGTAACCTGGGAGGTAACTCTGCAGAGACAACCTGAGTAGACCTGTCACAGTGCATTGCTCTAGAGAGCACCTTCTTGGTTACAGGGACAGGCTCCATGGCAGGGACTCTTACCTAGACCTCCAGGTGGCTCTGACCCCTTCTGAAAGCACTTGCCGGGTGGGAGCTGCTGTTGATGCCTTTTTGCCGGGGCAGAGGTTCTGCATTTTGCTTGATGAGAAACAGTGCAAACAGAAACAATTTTCCTTCTGTAATTTTCAATGAAAAGAGAAGTTATTTGATTGTGAACCTTAACCTCCAAGAGCAGAGACTTCTACCCAAATCACTAAGTGTCCTGGAAAACACCGAGAATCAGGCAGGAGATCCCCTGGCAAGGTCCTTATCTGTGATTTCACTGAGAGGAAGCTTGCTGCCCACCCAGCAGCAGCCTCTCCTAAAATGAGCACTACAGGTTCTATCTTTTAACGTAGTGTTCCTGGGTTAAAGGAAAAGGCCCTGTGGAAATCACAGGTCAACTCCTACTGACTTAAATGACTTCATGCCTAATGGAGAACCTGAGAGGGCAGCCAAGACATGTAGACATTATGGTCTGCCTCTATCACAAATCCTGGTAAAACCGAGAGCCCAAGGGACACCAGGAACCTGAGGAGGAATTTCCAGGGTCGACCACACAGGCACCCAAGCACTGCTGCAATATGACTCCTTCTTTCCCTCTCACTCCTCTTTCCTTTATTTCTTCTAAGGGACAACAGGAGAGGGAAAAGCAGCACAGGAACTGCTAAGTCCCTTCTTAAGGCCTGGCCCAAGACTGCTCAGAGAAGGCCTAAGAAGGTGAGACATTCCTTAGTGGATCTCACCAGTGATCCAAGTACTGCAGAACATCTCCAGTAGCGGGAGACCCCCATTAGGAGCATGCAAACCTGGCCACTTTCTTGCCATACATTCCCTGAGTATTTGTTCATGGGCTTTTAGTCCACTATATTTTCACCCCCCTTTCGAGCCAGTTGGTACTGTTGTCCTCCACAGCCTTTTGCAGCAGCTCCTAGTAGTCCACCATCCACTGTGTAAAGAAGCACTCCCTGTTATTCTTGTTAAGCCTCTCCGCCCTTACCTTGTGTGCCCTGCACTTAGGGCATTGCATGATTTAGCAACCAGCAGCCCTGCATTTGTTGTTTGCTGTCAGCTGCCCTCACCATTGGAAAATGTCAGTCACATCCCCTCCTTCAGAATTCCTTCTCCAAACGGGAAAGTCACAGACATTCCCAATTTGCCTGTTTCCCAGTCCTCTTTCTCTGCATCTTTTCTAACCATCCTTTTGGCACTACACGTACCACAGCTATACCCAACAGGCAAAATGTGAGTGCACCACCGTTTTGCACAACGGGAAAGTCATGCTTTGTGGTTTGTTCACAAGACAGCACTGAGACAGGCCTGACATCATTCTGAATAAATATGCCTGGCACCACCTCCAAGAAATGTATGTCATGGGCCTGTCAAAGCTCTCCTCCTCCTCTGTCTTCAATCTTTTCTTCACCCTCCTACTGCATGCTCACATTCCTCCAAGCCAAGTCCACACTGCTCTCCCATTTTCCTGATACACCTCCACTTTCCAAGCCTCCCTTTCCAACAGAAGAGAAGCACAGAAGACCCCGTATGCACCGATTTACTGTGCACAACACACTGCTGAACACACGGTGAAAATGAGATGGAAGATCTGCACCACCGCCTCGCCCTGCAGCAAGCTACCACCAGACATCTGTGTCTGTAGCACTGCTGGGGGCAGTAGCCACCATTTGTATGAGGTAAAGAAACTCTTTCACATATCCCTGCTTAACCTTGTGTGTGCAGTTTGGCAGAGCCAAACCCACCTTCCTGTGCCTCACACCGTGGCTGAGACTAGACACACTTCAACATCTCAGCCTCAGCGCCTGCACCTCCCACAGCCTTGCCTTCAGTGCTGAACATCACCAACCAGAGGAGTCAAAAGCAGCACCGCCAGCCAGGAGATGGGAAGTAAGGGAGAATGCTACCAAATCCACATCTCCTTCCCCCTCATCTTTGCCTCTGCATGGAAAGACCACTGTTTTCTTTGCCATTAGCACGCTGGAGAGAGTGTACAGTGAACAAAAAGCACTAACCGGGGTGAAGCATGCACGCACCAGTTGTCTATGACATGACACTTGAATCTGCTGTTGCTAAGGATAATGGTTTTCACTGGTTTCTTCCATATATTCCATACAGGAATGTGTATTCTGACAGAATCACAAGGGGGATTTAGTCAAAGAAACCTACTGGTGGTTTTATTTCACAGCAGAAATCTATAAAGTGTATTTATCCGCAGCTGAATCAAATTGAAGGGTCTGATGTGGCTCCTCATGGTATCACAGAATTCTGACATTGATTTGAGAATGATTAAACCCTACCAAAATATCTCAGCTGTCCTAAAACTAACTAGGCTATAATCCCAGGCACTTGCTGAGTAATATGGAAAACAGAATGTTTCACACATGAGCCTCGAGAGCTTAAATTCAGGTAACTGATCAGGAACGCACAGCCCGGTGACTGTGGGATTTCACTGAAGGGACAGGGTTTATGGCAACGTGAGTGAAAAGAGACCACTTTCTAACCATTACCACAAGCAGACAAGTTGTATTAAAAACATTTGCTCTGTAGGTAACACAAAATAAAGTATTATCATCTGATCAGCTCAAGTAATGCTGATTTACATCTTTGACTCAACTCTTCCCTGTACAGTTGCAGTAAGGGTGCAATTTTACAAACCCATAGTCAGTTGAACACATTTACAACACAAATGATACACTATGTACAAACCTAGTTCTCCCAGGCACTTTGCTCAGCATGCTTCAACACAGAAGTGATTTATCCACTTCTAGGATAGGATGCCAGTTTTTCCTTTAATTGCAATACCCAAATACTTATCAAAACAGGAAAACAATCCATTTGCTATCACGTGGTGGTGTTCTTAAGTCACTTGTTTGTTACTGTATGTCATAGAAAAGTAGAACCAGTCACAACAATAAATAACACTGCTTATTATGAACTGAGACTTCTATTCATGGGATCACACTTTCAGCCTGAGTGCTTTTACGAGACTGTAGGATCCATTTATCTTTGCTTTTCTTGACACGTAGATCAAAATTGCAACTGCAGGTACTGCTACTGCTGTCACAGAGGAAAATGCAATAATCAGTGGGATCATTTGGTCTGGTCTTTCCAATCTTTCTGAAACTGGAGAGAAGAGAAGAAAAAAGTTGTGTAAAAACTGACCGACAGGGACACGTATATTCCTGTAAAAGCAGTGCTATTCACGACCTTCACTGGGAACACTAGTTCTGTTTTCTTGCACAAAGCACATTTCAAAACGTTTTCCTTATGCCTTTGGTTTTTGGTAGTAACTTCGTATTACACACTTCAAATCCTATTCATGGTCTTGAGTTTGCTCTGCAAGTTCAAACCCAGCTGATATCATCTACAATGAAGAATACGATGGATTTCATGGAGAACACAAGAGTATCAGGTATTACACCCAGGAAACACCTGGGGACATTCCTACCTCCTGGAAACCATGCTTCAGGAGAAGACCATGTTTTATAAAGCCCCATGTTTAGATCTCTTTGTGAAACAGAACTTTCTCTGGATTGGTTTCACTGTTCACGCACATGGCCCTATCTTTAAAGCTACTACACAAGTTTGGGTAGGAGAGACAATACCTTCTACACTGAAAGGAGGTTAAATACAGCTTATTATCCCCAGCTGTTTGGTGCTGAGGATTTTGGTTTGTTTTGGTTGTTGGGTTTTGGGGTGGTTTTTAGGTTAACCGTGCTATTGTTGCGCAAGGTTCAGCCATGAGCTAGTTGTGCTTATCTTGACACAAAAGTCATTAGAAAGTATGAACAAACTAAGTTAAGGGCAATAGATCTACCTACCTACAACAGCTATTTCAACCACTGTGATGTTGTTTCCAATCTCACTGAAAACGTCAAGCAAATATCTGCCTCTATCATTTTTGGTGACTTTGTAGAGTATAAAGGTTCCATTCACTGATGGCAGAATAATTTCTTTCTCCTGATTGATGGACTTTTTTCAGGACCATCTCTGATGGTGGGTCACTGTATGTGCTACATGTAATAGTGATGTTTTCTCCTTCCTTTTCTAATGCATATACTAACACAGTGATATTTTGGGGAGGAACTGAAAAGAAAGGCAAGGTAGGAAGCAAAAAGCTCATGAGGTACCACAGCTTGTACACATAAAGTACTAACTCACTTTGTGAAAGGACTCAATATAATATTCAAGCATGTAACTTTAGACGCTACTCTGCACTAACTATCCTTCACACACTGCAATCACCAGCTGACAGACATTTTGCCACTTAATGGAGCATATTGCATATCTTCTACACTCTATGGAGCCTTTTCTTCTTTTCTTATTTTAAATTCACTGTTTATTCATTTGAGTTCATTAAAGGACAAAGACCAACAGCCCCAGAGGTTGATGTCCTCTTTCAACAGAAGAGAAAAGGCACAGGAAGGAGCTCTAGAATAGTACTTTTTTCTATAGGCTCCACAATTTTACATCCTGTTTTCAAAGGTGGAAGTGGAACTATGAATGATTCTGAAGCAGCAATGACTTTGTGCATCTGCCTTTTTGGACGGAAGGTTTTGTCAGCACTAAGGTCCCACCACTGATGACAAGAACCTGGGTAACTGCAACTCATCTCAGGGTTTAAAAAACAATTCTTTCTTAGTGGAATTGAAGAATTTGCCACCTTCTGTCTCAAGGGTTGTGATTCCATCACCTATTTTCTTTCATGGAGTACTCTGAGCAGAGGTAACATCCATCAAAGTGCAAGAAATGGTAACACTTCTCCTTGTATCAGTGCACTTGAAGGGAAAAGTGAAAGTGTACCTTTTGGTGCAGCTTCAAAATAGTAAAGAACAAGGAAGAGAGATGGACTAGTGGCAGAAGTGATCTCTAAGCAATATACTGTTGCCATGCCATAAACAGAAGCAGCAGGGCTAAAGCAGAGAAGTTTGCTTACTGCTGAAAATGAGACTTGGCTACCAGGGCAGTCGGTGTTTGGTGTGGCTTAAATGCAGCTTGCAAGAACAGGAGAGAGCTGTAACTTAAAGGAGGGCCTAGGGGCTGTAACACAGCCCCTGCACAGAGAGGTTCAGCACGTACACTCTCTTTGAATCTTTTGCATGCAGATCTCTGGATGCTCCAGTGACCTATCTGAAGAACATACAGGCACTGCGTATCTTCTCTGCCTCATACATACATCTGCCACTCGGCAGGAGCGATGGAAGCTCGGCTGACATGAGCCCTTTGCATAAGCTAGATGTACTAAGGCAGATTTCAGCCTTCATTATTTAAAGCTTCCTAAATGACTTAATGACATTAAGGCCACCTTTGAACTCCACTGACATCAAAGACAGAATTCCCCTGTCCTTCACAGATTGAGATCTGCTCCTAAAATCCATAAACCAGAAAACTCGTGCTCTGTCTTGTTCTACTAACCTCGAACACGTAATTTCACATCTTTTTCTTCTTTGCCGAATTGGTTATAAGCTTCACATTCATAAAGCCCCAGATCTTGACTTTTTATGTTCTGTATGGTTAAAGTGGCATCTGTATAAATTTTCTCAGGCTCCCCAGTAGTCTTCTTTTTCTTCCAAGAGATCACTGGAGCCGGATTGCCAGAACTAGTACATTTCATTATCACAGTTTCTCCTTCTTTAACGACAGTGGCAGGGATAACAGAGATCATTGTATTCTTTGGTCCATCTGAAAGGAAGAACCCTGTCGTTAATCATCACTGGATTTTGTAGAGGTGGATATAGCACGTCCTATGGGATGTCAGGTTGTTGGCCTCCCAAAGTTAATTTCTTTCTCACCCTCAGAACAAGTAAAGCACATAGTGCCAGAGCTACCACACTCTTGGTTTATAGCCTAAACCAAGAATGTTAAGAAGGAAGATGAGTTTCATGCTCATCCAGATCCTGATTACATTAGGATTAGGCCTGTCATTACATTAAGGATTTCATCTTTGTTTCGCTCATCAGCACTGCTCCTTTCTGTGGGGAAGAGCAGAGGACTAGGTTGGGTTTACTGTACTCAGAGGGTGGTGTTTCATTTTATTGGTACATTTATCACTGAAGGAAGTGGAGCATAAACTAATTATTTTTAAACGACTGGGAAAACATTATACACACTTACATTCCACATTAAGTGTTATTTCACTTCTGCTTTTCCCAAACTTATTTTCTGCTACACATTCATAGTCTCCTCCATTTAGGAACGTCACAGATGGAAGGAGAATTCTCCCCTCGCTATAAGGCCCCAAGTCTGCACCGTCAGGTTTTCTCCTTAAAATAATCCTTGGAGAAGGGTTACCCTCAGCAGAACATCGTATGGAAACATTTTCTCCTTCTTGAACAGTGGTAGAAGGTTCAATGGAGAGTTCTGTAATGTCTGGAGCACCTGCATGACAAAAGAAAATGCTCTTAAACTAATGCAGAAGTACTAAAGGTGGGGAGGGGTTTAAGAAAGCAGGAATTGCTTGCCCAAGGATCTCTTTATTTGGTTTTGGGCCCAGGCTCCATCTGAGACTTTTGGCTCTATTGAAACAGTATCAATAATAATACTAATAGTACCAATAACACTAATAACACAATACTAACAGTGATACTGTTACCAATACCAATACCCATACCAATAATGTCCCAAATTGATTTACTATTAAATAACTACTAAATTTACTACTAATGACTAAAACTACACGTTCAAAGAAGACGACTATGATGTCCCTGTGAAACTGCTATACACGTTAGCACTTCAAGGAAAGAACAGTGTCCCCCACATCACCACTTCCTCAGATTCTTTTATCACTTTGAGCATTGCATTGCAGGAAGCACAAGTAGTATGTATGTACAACAGCAGCACAGAGAGAATGAGTTGAAAATGAAGCATAGAAATGAAAAGCACAGCCCATGATGAGCAGGAGTACATTGAAAGCTAACTCCTGAATACAAAACAAGGAACACCCCAGTCATTTCCTAATTTTCAGTGTTTCAGCACCCTCCAACCCAACAGGCAGTTGGGTACTGGGTGATACAGGTTAAATTCAAGCAGACTTGTACCTTGTATAACTATGTCCACAGCTGCTTTCTCTGTTTTATTCGTTACCAGATTAGTCACTTCACAGATGTACAGTCCTGAATCAGTGAAACGGGCATCAGGAATAGAAAGGACATTGTTTTTTGTCAGAAGCTGGATGCTTTCATCAGCCAGATGTTTTCTCCAAACTATCTGTGCTGGTGGATTACTCTCAGTCACACAAGTGAGGTTTACAGTGTCTCCTTCCATTGGCCAGTTGCCTGGAGATGCAGTAATGCCAGTATTTTGTGGGCCAACTGGAACAGAACAAAAGAGACAAGGTCAGCAAGTGAATGAAGAATGACATGCACATCTTTTACACTAGCTTCTGGGGAGGTACTCTGCACACAATACCCAGAATAAATGAACCATGTTTATTCCAGTAACACAGTGGAACAGTTTTTCCAGGCTTGATAAGACATTTAGCTTGCAGCTTTGAAAGCCAAGCTAGACAAAACGTATACAAACTATTACTAGTTTTTTATTCTTCCATTTGTCTCCCTATTGTTCAGGACAATAAACTTGTAGCTCCTAAGCATAATAAAGCAATTTTAATAACATGCATCTGCCAGTTTTCTTCTGGTCACCACCTTCTGAAGGAGCACCAGTGCCCAACGTAAGCATTGCCTAACTTCTGCCATGAACAACAGTTGTATTTAATGACCCAGTGACTGTTACTGAATACAGCAGAACTGAACTTGTGCCAGAAATAATATAAGTAAGAAGTGCAGACTCTAAATTACTTATAGCACACACTTTGGAAACCCATTCCATGAACCTTCACATTAAACAGGAATCGGTGTGAAAAGCCTAGAATGAAAATGCTTACAGTTTGCAGTCAGTTTCTCAGAAGTTACTCTTTCTTTGGGTTCAAAGTCCATATTAGGAATTGGTAACTTGGCCACACAGGTAATCTCTTTCCCAATATCTTCAGCCGTGGGATTAAATGAATATGTGACAGTTTTGTTCTCTGTATTTGTGCTGTCATCCTCATAAAAATTTTCCTCGTGAAGAACATGTCCCTCTTTCTTTAGGAGTACTTCCAGGTAATGAGAAGGATACACATCAGGAATTCTACAGGTAACAGTGACTGGTTCCGCAGCAACCAAGTGTGGGCTGATCTCAATGACAGGATCTCTGGGAAAAGCTAGAAGAATAAAATCCATTTCTTTAGTCTAGCAGAGATGAGCTGTAGGGTCAACATAAGAGCAAGATCCAGGCAGCAAACATCTTGAGTTTAGAGACATTCAGAACATGTCATTGTATCTACTTTATTATCAGACATTATCCATATCTTGATATGAAGACATACAGGTCTTTTATAAGCAGTTCATACACTAACAGGAATTACACTTGTACCACTGTTGAAATATGATCACAAATGATCTAATAAAATCCAGCAAGGCACCTAGACAGTGGTACAGCTGCCTAAACACAGGCATCCAGAGCCATCCAGACACTGGTGCTATCCTGTTTTCTGTGTTGTTCAGGCGACAGAACCATTCCCCTGCAGACTGCAAATGCTTTGATTCTTTATTTTTTTCCAGCTCTACAAATGTTTTGGGCAGTCTATGCTCTGGCTTTCAAGGATGAGAATAAATAAGATCAGTACATACAACCTTCAGTGCAGAAAGCTAAGCAGAAAGGGGCTGAGAAAGTGTCCCAAAGAGACAGATAAAGAAATCTTATAAGGAATATATGTTGAACTACAGCAGACCCATTATCTCAGCATTATCAGTTAACTACCAACCACCACACCAAAAAACACTTCTTGATTTGGTCCAAATCCTACTTAAAGAGGATTTTACATTTCTACTTACAGTAAAGTTCAACTTTGACACTCTTCTCTTTCTTCTCTTTTTTCTCTTTCTCACCACAGAAGACAGTACATAGATAGTCATGAGAATTCACAATGCTGACTGGACTCATAGTCAAGGTAGAGTATGTCCTATAGTTATTCACTGTTCCTCCAAGGGGGTTGTCCATCTGGGTTCTCCAGGAGAAACTGGGCGATGCACAGCCAGTAGTATTGCATGTGAGTCTGAGTGTTTCTCCAATCTGTTTAACAATCCTGTTAGCAGGTATAATCTCCATTTCAAAAGCTTTAACTGCAATAGAGAGAACAGACATAAACTCATGTGGAGGTTAAACTAATAAAGTTTATGCAGTGGTTTACATCTCCAAAATGTCCCATAAACATTGCTATTTTTGTCAAAGATAATACTCTTAACAGGCAGTTCCCACGTACAAAATAACATGAACCCAACACTGTCAGTGAAAATAAACGCATTGGCGCAATATAACACTTTTTGTCAGGTGGATCTGGTTCTAAAACTGTCACATTTAAGGCAAGGAGTGGCAAGTAAGATAGCAAGGACAACTGCAGAATGACTTTCAACAGGACATTCAGTACCAAACTTGACTGATGCTGTCAGGGATGACAGTAAAAATCAAACATGCACTGATACACTGCAGTTGTCTCCTAGACTGTCTTTTAGCAAACTCAATAAGAAAATGACTGTGTCATTGCAGAGCACAGAAAAGCTGAAAGTAAATGTCAAAAAAAGCTTCCTGACATTTTGACAGAACTACTTAATTGCCAGTTGTGTTCACTGAGATGGAAAAGTAACTGGAACAAAGAGAAATAAAGACCTAGCAGTAAACTGTAGGTCAGTTTACACCTAACAACGTCAAAACCCAATAAAGACAAATAACACACACCAACTTACCAGTCATGAACACATAGGAAATTATTAGCACAGCTTGGCTTGTTCTTCCCATCTCTTTTAACACTGGTAATTGCTGTTACTAGGCAAAGAAAGTAAGTTCAAAAGCCTTCGTTTCTATTCTGTGTGAAGAAGCACAGTGAGCTCCTGCTGCTCTGCACCAGTTTATGAGCATAGCTCCAGCGTCCTCTTTATAGAGGCTCTGGTCGAGGTGGAGCGCGAAATCCCTGGACGGGGAAGTCCGGAGCGGGAGGGATCGACGCCGGGCTGCGCCCTCTGCTGCTCCCTGCAATGCACAATTGGAAGCCCAGGAAAACAAGGAATACTAACGCTGCCCACTGTACATAAAAGGAGCAAGATCCGATCCTGCAAACAACTGATAAAATGAAAGAATGTGGGTAATTCCAAGCAACTGAATGGCACTGTATCTCAGATGGAAAAGTTGTTCAAGTTTGCTTTCAGTGTAAATATTTTTGTAGGGCTGAGTCTTGAGAATACTTCTAATAATACCCAACTCTGTAAATAACTTGACCCAGCTCAGTATTCCCCTTGAAAACTGCGCAACCAGTTCAAGAGGTGATGTTATTCCCATTCCTAAGTTTAAAGATGAAGAAATAAGTTCGATAACAGAAGTCTGGAGATCCAAGCTGATCAGCCTGAATCAGGTTCATCTTTTTGGGATTAACTGAGTGAATACATTTTCCCAGTTCCACTTTAAAAATGTCTCTTAAAATGTCCCTCTTTCAAGATGCTACTGGTATGCATTACATCACTGATGTGCCTCCAGTTCTCCTCTGCCCAGTTGATGTATTGAGGAATATCAGCTTATAATACAACTCCGGGATTATTTTCAGTGTTTGGTTTCCAGTGGGTATGTGAATCCAGACTGGAATCTTTCCGAGGACAACTACTACTGGCTAATATAGCAACAGTGCTATGAAAAAAGTCAAGTTACATTTTCGGTGTTTAATTTTCAATTGGGAAAAGGCTGTGAATGCAAAGAATGGATGAAGGTTTCCAGATCTCAACTGTTTATTTATTCAACTGCTTGAGGAGTTTGTATTGGTCAGTTGTGAATCCCTAAATAAACAGCAAGAGATTCAAAACTAAACAGATATGTTATTTTAAAACGTCTCTCGTAAACTGTTTGTAGGTAATAGTTTGGTCCTTTGATGCCTGTGAAATACTGCCCTCAAATAGTACATTTTATAAACAGCACAGATTAAATGTCTAATAAATGAGTATTAACTTGAAAAAATAAAAGCTGAAGTAACAATGCTGCAGGTGCTAAAGAAATGTCATTGCTGAAAGCTGGCACCACATCAACATGATGCTTTTTGAGTCAAGGAGATTTTACATTTAATAACCTAATGCTAGCTCCAAAACGCCATGTTCAGGTGAGAGTAGTACCAGAGGATGTAAAGCTTCTGCTGGCCTAGAGTCAGTGTGTCTTCTTCTGGTTTTTAATGCTTTTTCCTGGCTGCAGCTGCCCCAACATTTGCATCCTGACCAAAGGGTAGCTGGCCAGTACAAGCTGCTACAGGAACACATGAGGTTAAGATAAGAAGCATCAACCACTTTTTTCATACACTTCTCATAAACTCGTAAGTCTAAAAGGGATGTAATGATTGTAGGCAGATACAAACCGTGCTCTCAGCCAGAAAGTATGTCTTCAAAATAAGAATGATTTGTAACAACAGCAGTGTTGAGAAAGATGACAAAAATAAACAACACAAGCCAAGAATGACCCTGAAGACAATAAACCAGGGCCATCCGAAGCACCTAGCAATGCCTAAAGCCACTAAGGCTGACATTCACTGGAACTGCCAGTGGATTCTCCCATAATATATTATTTCTATTATCTTCATCATTATTCTTATTAGAGGAGGAGGAATGAAAAGCAATGTCCTAAGTGTCAGCAAATGCAAGCAGAGTACTGTGCTGGAAGCACTGCTATCAAACCCAGAAATCCAAATCTATCCAGAGGAGGTAAAAACATCTACAGAATGTGATTTCACTGGAAGGGGTTTTGGTGAAGAAGAGTGTAGTCTCTTACTTAAGTTGCAAATAAAGACTTCTTAACCATGGGCAGACAGAAGCAAGAAATGAAACTCGTCTGCCTGACGGCTCAATAATAATAGACTAAGCTGAAAGGGAAAAGGCAAAATTTCCCTACTTCTGGGAAATCAGTTTCTAGACAAAAAAGATATAAACACAGGAGGCCATATCCGCATGCTGGAAAAACTGTAATCAAGCCCTTCATCAGATAACATGAAATAGGAAATAACTGATCCAGCTCTCAGTAGAACTAAACTGGACAGCTGCCATTAACTTTACTGGAGTTGGATCCTTACCAGAGGGACTATTACACTGAGTGACAGACAAATTTAACTCGGATACTACAGGCGAGAGCAGGGTTAGCCAAGAAATATCATTAAAGGAAGTACAGACCTAACAAATGAAACAAATTTCTTAAAACTTGCTCTTTTCCCACTTCAAATGTGAGCCTTCTGTGTATTTTAAACAGAATATGTGCTTTACTGTTGCTCCTACTATCCTCTGCATCAGTTGCACATAGGAGAATGGCTATCAAGCTTGCTTATTTCCAGCACAGGCTGATAAACCCAGAGGAAGCGTCTAGATTCACAGTGAGATCAAGTGTTACAGGATCAACTGGAAGAAGACCTGACACACGCAGACTGGAATGTAACAAGTATTACAAAAATATTACTAAAGGCAAAAGAAATTAAAAGAATTAAGCACAGGGATGTAAATATGTTTTCCTATAATCTAGTAATCAAAAGAGTCTTTTCTCAGGCTTTGTCGGACAAAGAGGAGACAACTGTGTGCCCCAGAAGGGAGTTTGGAAATACTGAACACATCATTTTTGGCCTGGCATCAGAAAATACAAATGTCCTTCAGGAAACTGAAACTTAACTTCAGACTGGTTTTGGAATGTAAGAAAAGAAACCCATTTCAGAACTGTGGTCAACTTTTGCTTTAATTCATACTTCTTCAACCCTGCTAAAGACCTGTATGATGAACTTCAATTAATTTCCTCTAGCCAAGAGATAAACAACTCTCTGACCAAAATGTGCATTACCCAACATGTTCATTATCCAGCGTCTCCAACCTAACTATTCTATGATTTTTAATGCACTGCACTGTTTCAGGGAGGCTGTGAGGGGAAGCTGAAAGGCTATAACCCCTCATGCAGAACTTGGTCTCTTCAAAGCTGCACCACTGGTTTTGTGATCTATGGCCTATGGAGAAGAGGTCAGCAATAAAATACTTCATGGCCCTCCATCCCAATAGCTGTATCTAGAGCCATCATTCAGGATTTCTGCTAAAAACATCCAATGTTGGAATAATAACTTCTATGCAGGGCCCTAACACAGAAACACGTGCAACATGTTTATTGTTAAGCATCTGTGGCCCATGAGCTTGGGAGGACAGAATCCTACAGTGGAAGGCCTGGCATTCAGGTGAGAAGATGCCTGATTCAACAGTTCTTAATTAATTAAAAACTTAATTAAGCCTGACTCAACTTCAGCCTCATACTGTAGAGGTATTACAGCAAGTTCATGCTTGGGTCTCCCATTCAAACTGCAGCCCTCACCCATCTCACAAAAGATCTCCCTGGGATGCATGCTGGATGTCCGAGTATAAGAAAGCCTCTCACAGAGTTTCTGATGCTTTATGGAAGCAGCTAGGATGAAATGCTCTCACCCTATGCAAAGAGTGTCTGACACCTCCACAGTATGATCACACCTAAAGAATAAAAGCAAGAGGAATGGGCTGTAACTCGAATGAGAACTACTCTGGAAGAGAAAACATATCTGCATCGACAAAGAAGGAATCCCCTTCAGGCACTACATCCAAAGGAACACCTTTAATATGGTCATATCTTGATCGAGTAACTGAAAAACCATGAACCTGGAGGATATGTATGAGTACTGCTGACTATATGGCTTACGCAGCAGATAATGATCTGACAGATGTTAAATCTTTAATTCTCAGCACCTCAGTAGCCTGCTGTATGGGTTATATTGCCTTCCTCAGTGCCTACTGGCTTTTTGGTTCCCAAAGCCTTCCTGACCCTTTGCTTTCCTTCCCTCCCTCCACCTTCTTTCTCATCACCTGACAATAACACAACATCTGTAAAGCCCCCAAAAGGGGGAGGAGAGCATCACTGACTCCCTATAATTTTCATCTCCAGATGGGAAGGATGAGCTCCACCTGCAGATCTATTTAAAGGGTTGTGTCTGTTTCAGGAATTGTAACTTTGTTCCCAGCTACAAAAAGAACACCAACGCATTACCCTGTAACCCACATCACACCTTACAATTGTACTCCGCATCTAGCTTGTCATCTATTGAAAA